CAATACCAATACCAATACCAATATAGCCAGCGACACTCACCAGAGGCAATTTTAACAACTGGGACATCCAACTGTAGTTCTACTGGGAATAAGCTGCCATTGATAGACTCCAAATTCTCTTCGCCTTTCGGAGGGGCTAGTAAACCAATGACGCCATTTTCATCCTAAAGAAGATGCAGACGTATGAGAAAAAGAGCCAATGGGGGAAGCCAAAAAAGGAAGCCAAACACGATAGCTTTTCTCCCAAGCAAAACAAGACAACGTACCCGGAAAGCACCCCAAATGAAGACATGTCCATCTTCTGTCAACGCTGCCGTGTGGCTGTCCCCCGCTGACACCTGCACCACCTTCTCCTTCAGATCCACCAAGCCCGGCACAGCGTCAGACCCTTCCTCTGAAGTGTCCCTCCCCAGGGCCCCCTCGTCATTGCAGCCAAAAGTATAGATCTGGAAGAAGTGTAATTTAAGCACTCTATAAACACAGCATGTTCCACAGCATTGGGCCACCAACTCCCGGCTCTGGAGCTGCATGTGGCTCTTTCGTCCCTCTGCTGCGGCTCCGTTGCTCAAAATATGCTTCACAACCAACAATGTGTGACACCTGCTGGCACGTGATTTATTGAGCTTTTCAACCACCGGTAGGCCAACCATGGTTAAATCCAAGAAAAGTAAAGTTTCAGAAGGAAACAGAATGTTTAATTCAACTACATATACTGGTTTTGTGGCCGCTCAGGAAATAGCCAAGCACAGGAAGGGTTTTGTGGCTCCCAGTGTTTTTTCTTCTGTGGGAAATGGGTCCAATTGGCTCTTTTGGGTGTTTAAGGTTGCCGCCCCCTGTTTTATAGGAAACCAAGGTATGCTTGGACTCACCTTGCCTGTTTCGCTCAGACACACTGTATGAACCCCGCCTGCCTCAGCTTGGATAATTTTCTCAGGGAGCTGCACCACGGCGGGCCTCTTCCGTGCCAGCACATCTGGTCCAAGGCCCAGCTGTCCGAGATCACCTTGTCCCAGGGTCAACACCAATCCTGGCTCACTTTGGTGGGAGCAATGGCTAACTGGATAAGAGCAGGAGGAAGGAACGTGAAAAAGAAAGCAACCGATCATAACCCAATTGGAGAGGTTTTTTTTTATTATTATTTTTAAACAGCATGCATTGAATTTTCCAACATTTAAAAGACGAAACGCAAATGTACACTTATAACAGCTTTTTCATATCGGTATCCCTATCTTTTGTAACAATTCTATTTACAAAAATTTCTATCTCAATTTCACTATCCTAAGTTATATCCTTATTTAAATTACAAGAACATCAAATCAATATTTTACATTTCTTATACCTTTTACATTCTATATATTATACTTTAACATTTTATACCCTAAGTTTTACATTTACTCTCAAGCCAGGAATACCATCCATTCCAAATTTGATAGTCCTCGGTTCCTTCCCTCTCCAATTGGAGAGTTTAAAATTCCAGATATTTAAGTCGGATGTTTCCTAAGCCAAGAGCAGCATCTTCTAACAGGTCATCCTCAACCTATGACCTTTCATTCAGTGACTGTTGGAAGTTACAACGGCACTGAAAAACGGGACTTATGACTTATGGCTTCACCCTTACAACCAATGCAGCATCCCCATGGCCACATGATCAAAAATTCAGTCACTTGGCGCTGCGAGAATCGTATTTGCCCAGAATTGGAAATTAAATAAGTTACCAACAGAGGAAGAGATAATATAAAAAATACTAGATTGTGCAGAGATNTGAGAAATTGAAAATCAGGCTTGTCAGATGTTACATCTTTTCTATCCTGCTCTACGGAGCGGAGAGTTGGTCTCTGACAGAAAGACATTAGAAGCATTTGAAATGTGGATTTACAGGTGGCTGTTACGTATAAATTGGGTGGACAAAATCAGAAATGAGGTGATACGCCACCTATTTTACATATTGATGAATTATTATATTTTATCCTACAACTACTGTATTTTACCCTACTTATTTTAAATTGCTCGTGTTGGATTTTATGGGTCATACATGTTTGAACCTTGTGCTTTGATAGGGCCTATAGGCTAATCAATAAAACTAATCTAATCTAATCTAATCTATTTAGCAACAGGAAGTTTGGGTTTAATTGTGGTCATAAGTCGAGGACTACCTGTATACACTTGCCTTTGAGAAAAGGCAGGAGGCAAATGTAGCCCTTAAAAATAAACTAAGTCTTATTGCAAGGACTAGAAAAGGGATGGGTAACCGTTTACATCACTGCATGCCAACCTGTGTGCCAGAAAAAGCATGTAAAACCATCCTGCCTGGATCACACGGCCTCGCTGGCCTTCGCGAACCCGGGAATGCCGAAACCCAGAAGAGCAGCATTCCGATGCACATGCGCACGCCGGCACCCAAACTTCCAGTTTCCACCACAGACGTACACCCAATGAACAGCTGGCCATCGCGCATGCACACAAGGGAAACCTGGACGTTTGGGTGCCGGAGCGCACATGTGCGCCAGAATGCTATCAACACTCTCTCGCGCACAAAGGCCAGCTGACCGACCCAAAAACACAGGAGAGGAGCCAGGAAGGCCATATGTCCCGCACGGGATGGTTCTGTGTGCCGCTTCCGGCATGCGTGCCATAAGGGACTAGAAAGTAGACACAATTTCCGTGCATAGCTTCAGACGCAACCCCCAGCTCTCCTTATTTGCTCAGACTCACCATCTTCCGTCACGGCAAAGCCAACTCGTTCCCCGCAGGCCACCGAAGTTGATTTGGGCAAATCAGGGACAGTGGTAGGAGAGCTCTTCTCGTCAACTTCTTTTCCCAGGCCCAACATCCCATAGTCTGCACGCCCAAGACTATACACAGTGCCTGTTGGAAGGAGGGAACCATCGAAGAGAGAAAGAAAGAGGTCTTGTTAAGAGGAGTTACACAGGTCTCTATGATACAAACTCTTTAAAGACTCGATGATCAGCAATCGCGGCATCCGGATTTCTATATAACTGTGATGGCCAACCTATGGCACATGTGCCAGAGGTGGCATGCAGAGCCCTCTCTGTGGGCACGCATGCCATTGCCAGCTGCTGTTCGCAAGCACTGGAGTGCCGGAAAATGGCCCGAAAAATAATGTAAAGAAAGCTGGTTTCCAGGCCTTTTTCCAGCCATTTTTGGGGGGCCAAAAACGGTCTGAAAATGGCACGAAAAATGGCTTGAAAATGGCCCAAAAACCAGCTAAAAAATTGGCATGTGCATGCCGGCCAGCTGGTCTTTGGGTTTCCAGTGCTCCAGCGTGTGTACAAGCACTTGGGTTCTGGTTTGGGCACTCGGCGCTGAACAGGTTTGCCATCACTGGTATATAAGATCCCTTCAACCCCCCCCCCCCCCCAAATGAACAGAGATTCATGTAAAGAAAGAAATCAACTCAACGCAAGGAAATCAACTCTGCCCAGAGTCTGGAGTTCGACCCTGATGGGGCTCAAGGTTGACTCAGCCCCCGCATCCTTCCAAGGTGGGTAAAATGAGGAGCCAGATTGTGGTGGGGGCAGGAGGCTGATTCCGTAAACCGCTAAGAGGGGGGGTTGTAAAACGCTACAAAGCGATATATAAGTCTAAGTGCTACTGTTCTTCTCGGTGGTGCCTGACCAGGGCAGAGCGACGACCAACTGCTTCCCATGAATCTACTCTTCCAGGTGACCCACCTTCGGAATCCAGACAGACAGTGTGATGTTGCCCACCAGAGAATCCAACCCACGACCGGGTGGAATTCTTAAATGCTGTCAAGATCTTTGGAGAATAATAAGTGGTAATTTCTTGGGAGCCTGGGAGGGACAGAAAAGCAAATGGTAGATTAATGGAGATGAATGCAATAACAGCAGCCCATTACCGTTTTAAGGCCATTTTGCTACAAGTGATTAGAAACTACATATCGTATCTCTTAAAGCATAGCAATTAAAAGTATTGAGGCGGACAAGAGACAATGGAAGAATGATTTCTTTTATGTTGCTGTTCTGATTTAATACAAATATACAAATACAATAGCAGAGTTGGAAGGGACCTTGGAGGTCTTCTAGTCCAACCCCGCCTAGGCAGGAAACCCTATACCATTTCAGACAAATGACTATCCAACATCTTCTTAAAGTCTTCCAGTGTTTGGGGCATTCACAACTGCCGGAGGCAAGTTGTTCCACTGATTAGTTGTTCTAACTGTCAGGAAATTTCTCCTCAGTTCTAAGTTGCTTCTCTCCTGAATTAGTTTCCACCCATTGCTTCTTGTTCTACCCTCAGGTGCTTTGTAGAATAGTTTGACTCCCTCTTCTTTGTGGCAGCCCTTGAGATATTGGAACACTGCTATCATGTTTCCTCTAGTCCTTCTTTTCATTAACCTAGACATACCTAATTTCT